AGATATGTAATAGTGCACTTCAAGTTGTAAAAGACTATGTCTACTTAGGGCAGGTAATAACCGCGGAGCCGAACCACGAGATTGAAGTAACTAGAAGAATAAGAATGGGGTGGAGCACATATGGCAAGCACTCTCAAATTATGACAGGTAGATTGCCACTATCCCTCAAGAGAAAGGTATATAACAGCTGTATCTTGCCGGTACTTAGCTACGGAGCAGATCTCCTGGAGACTTACAAAGTGGGTTCAGCTTAAATTGAGGACGACGCAGCGAGCAATGGAAAGAAAAATGGTAGGTGTAACCTTAAGGGACAAGAAGAGAGCAGAGTGGATTAGGGAACAAACGGGGGTTAAGGATATCATAGCTGAAATCAAGAAGAAGAAATGGACATGGGCCGGGCATGTAGCGCGTAGACAGGATAACCGCTGGTCGTTAAGGGTAACTAACTGGATTCCCAGAGAAGGCAAGCGGATTAGGGGGAGACAGAAGGTTAGGTGGGCAGATGAGATTAAGAAGTTTGCGGGTATAAATTGGCAGCTGCAAGCGCAGGACCGGGTTGACTGGCGGAACATGGGAGATGCCTTTGTCCTGCAGTGGACGTAGTCAGGCTGATGATGATGATGGTGATGATGAAGGTAGATTTCCCCTCCCCCCCTGCCCGTCCTTCATGTCATTAAATCAGCAACATTAATCAAACTAGATCACGCGAGTCACCGATGACAGCAACTCCATGTTTTATATCGCTCCTTCGAACGGCGAAGTCTGTATAGTTATTGGCGCTGATCTTAACGGCTTGCTTTGGAAGTGCAGAATATATGCACGCGCACGCAAGCGGAGTGGCGGAGTACAATAGGCACACCTGCATGCTGCACGATATAAACCGCTCGTTAGTCGATCAGCAACAATACATTGGAGCTGTTGTGAGCAGTCTGGACGTCGTCGCATTTATACGGAACCTCGGCATCATGTGCGCGCGTTCTTCCCAAACGTATATACTTCGCCGTTTCTCTTCATTCTTAAATGCGCTATAGTTCTTATATGTGTATGACCTCGCAATCATTTTACAACTCTTCCCTGAAGAATGGAGCTGCAGGTAAGGGCCCTTTTGTTTTACCTGAGACAATCGCTATCAAAGAGGCGTTCGTTCGTTTTGATGCGCTGGAGATGCGTTACTCTTCGTTGCTTTTAAGGGACACAAATTTATGAGCTATAATTATTTTCTTACCATTGATGCTAATTAACTTTTTCTTAAGTGCAGAGCCTATCTGCGAGCCCGTATGCTCTTGTCGCGAAGCTTCCCCCCCCCCCACTCTTTTTTTTTTCCTCGCATGTGCAAAGAAGCACTTTAAATAATTGGAGCCTGTGAAGTTAATTTCATCCACAATTATTTTGTGCATCACTTCACAGGACATGAGTATACAAAACAAGCCCCAAATGAACGCGCGTTGAAATAAAATACTCGACTGATCTAATTATCTTCTTATCGTTCGGATGTTTTAAACACATAACACCAATAGTATAAACTCCACACTTCAATAGAGTGTCCTCTTCATTAGAAAAAAAAACGAACTGTCCTGAAGCTGATTACCTCAGCAACTTGAGGACTTTATTAAAAGCCTGCTGTATTGTGTAGCATCACTCCAGAATTTCGCGAAATGTTCGCGGGCACATGCGCGCGTACGTATTAACGCGATAGCGTCAAAGAGCTCGTTTCGCAGAAAACCCTCCGCCGGCGTCGGCCCCAGTTGGTTGTGAGCGAAAACTCGTCTCTGCGTCTGTGAACGAAAAATAATGCTACCGAGATAGCCGCGAGAGGCCGCTACTCTTCAAAGCGTGCGCGCGCGATCACACTGAAGAAGCCGCGCATACGAAGAAAAAAAAAAGTGCTCAAGGTCACGAGGCGCAGTAGTTTCTTTGTCGTGTCACCCCTTGCTGCTTAGCTTCCAGCGCTTTCGTCGGGACGAAAGGATAGATAATGCAATTGCAGCATGCGACAAACCTTTGTAACTCCACTCGCACTGGACAGATTCTTAGAATTTTTGCGGCGTTGAATTCGTGAGGCAATAAGCTCTTCTAGCGAATTCATTCCATGGTTACTTGAAAAAGTGTCTCAGGGCCCTTGAACGCATTTTTTTTCGACAGATGTCACGACGAAAACGAGCCCGTTCGGCGATAATAGCGCGCGCTGGTCCAATCTATACTGTGTGCGTATTTGTGTGCGTGTTTGTGTGCGTGCGTGGGTGGGTATGTAACAAAACAAATGAATAAGTATGCACTTAGTGGTTGAAGGTTGCACTAGGGGCTGGATTTCGCTATCGCGTTCAACTCTTCAAGGCGAAGCTTAAGGGTCCCCCAATTTTCCTCCTCGCAGTTCCGAAAAAGTGTTTACGAAAAACTTTCAGACTGTGTGTGCTAATCAGGAAATAACTCTATGCTTGCTTTTTATCATTTTTCGAGTGAAAGCAAGTCAATTGGGGTTTCTAATTCGAGCTATAGTGTTCATTGTCAAAAGAAGGGCAGTATAGCGCTCTGCTACGCGAGCCATGTCGAAAGAATTTACTGCATTGGTAAAACTTGGGAACAATAAATTCGTGCGCTGATGAATCGCAGCTTAGCAAGCTTTATTTTCTCTATTTTTTAGGTATTCGTGTCTTCGAACAGACGCCGCACGTGTTCATATCTGTTGGCAACTGTTGCTGTCATCGACGAGTATTCTCACTATGATTAACAAATCATATGCTGCGTCGTTATTCTTGCTTCTATATGTGCGTATGCACAAAATAATCCAAGCATATATGGCTATAGATGGTGTTGAAGACAACTAAAGCGCACATCCACACATCGTCTATGTAGGTACATGTGTATGCCTTTTTTGTCCTTATCATTCCGTGCACTTTTATTTTTCTGCGAAATGGATGACCACCATGGCCAATCTTCCGCAGTGGCTATATATCAGTAAGCTAACAATACGGTGTCCGAGCACACGCCCACAAGCCCATGGCACAAAAGTATATGCAATAACGTATATACATTTTGTCAGTATACAGCTGTGGTGTCCGAGTGTAAGAAAAACAAAATTGCAGATGCTCATTTCTATAAATGTGTACACCCATAACGCGTTCGCGCAGCACGGCCGGCGCACGTGCTCGGCGCAGTGACGCACACGGCCGAGTGTCGCGCGTGGCCCAAAACACCCCGCGTGGCCGCTTCCTTCCCGAGCGGGCGACATCTGGGGCGCGCTGACAACGGCTCGTGTATACAACAGGGCTCCCTGGCTGCGCCTGTTTCCAACTCGCGCGCGCGTGTGTCGGACCCGCGCGCATATTTGGGCTACGCCCGTCCAGCGGCGCGTGTATTTGGAGAAGAGGGGCCGACTCTTATCAACACAAAGCGGCCGGCTGCACGCGCCACGAACAAGAAGAGATGGCGGCTATTTCGAGCAGGCCAGAACCCGGGCTCCGGCCGCCGCGTTGCGTACACGATTTACGACGGGTGCTGCTGCTCCGGGGTTTTTCGAGGAGAGCCTGCGCTCTGTCTCGTCGGGCCGTCGTCACGCGCGCGCAAATAAACAGCGGGTCCGCGCCGCCGGGCTGCGGCGTGTGTCGTCCTGCGAGCGCGCCACGGGGCTCTAGCCACGCGCTGGATAAACTCCGCGGGTTAAACAAAGCCTTTGTCACCGGCTAGTGGGCGCGTGCCTTCCTCCCCGTGCAGCTCTTTCCTTCCGGTCCGAGCTAGTCAGCGCCGCGGCGAAGCCCTTTAGCCATCTTTCTCCGCTCACCCCAAACTCGTACCCCGGGATCATGGAGACCGTGTTTGGGCGTTCGCCCACGAACGGCCGTCGGGTGATGATCCGGAGATGCGCGCATTGCAATACAGCCCCCCACCCTACCCCCTCCCCGTTACTTGCACCGGGATATCCTCGGAAATTCCGCGGTGGTGATCTGGTCCCTGCACCGAGCGGTGCTAAAAGGGGTTTGTTAGAGTCTGGGCTGCCCCGTCGCGAAAGAATATCAGCGCATTTTTGTGGCAGGAGACTAAAGCGCCTTCACTACTCACGGTTCCCTGGTGAGACACTGCATGCAGAACCAACACCTCGTGCACATGTGTTTGTTCTGCGTCTAGTGTGCCGATATGCACGCAGCCTCGAATTCATTTTGTAACTGCTGCAGCTTTTTTTTTCCTGACTCGTTCTGTGGTTCGTCGGGAAGCTGTTTCTTTGTGGCCTTTTTTTTTTCCTCGAAAGATCTTGTTATCTTCATTTCGTTTTTATTCGCGTTGATATTTTACATAATGAAGCCTGTTTTGGATGGTTATGTAAGTTCAGGCAACTGCACCGCGGCAATTCATCGGCCCGAATAGGTGCCTTCTTTCATTTACCGTGAGAGAGAGAGAGATGTGGAAACGCAGGGAGAAAAAGCAGAGAGTGAAGGCAGTCAATACACTGACTCTCAAGAATAACAAAGAACTAGTGGGTGCTTGCGATCACGCATGGTTAAATACTCTAGAAACATTAAAAATTTTCCAGCTTTGAAAATTGTTTGGGAACTTCTTTTCGTGGTTGCTTCATACCACATACACTACAGATTAAACAATTACTGGAGCGAGGTGGTTTCATTGGTAAACATTGCACATGCGATTGAAATAGAAACGTACATTTAAAAAAATATGCAGGTATAGAACAGAGAAAGGTTTGTCACTGGTGAGCTCACTGCGCGAGTTTATGGGCGGCGTTGGGTTGCCGATAGGCTACAGGAGATTTGGATGACAATTTGGCTGGAGACGAAGGAAAAATAGTAGACCGAAATGCCATATGTTCAACTGTCAGGACCCACTATATAGAAACTCGCCCTCAAAATGATCCATTCGCGTAAATTGTTGTGCTATAGTTTAAGGGAATGACGTACACGTGCAGTAGCAAAAGAGTAGTCGATCGTGCCTTGTGGTCTACGTTCTGGCGACTGTTTTCACAGCGAGTTTATTTTTTTTTTTTGCTCTCGCAGGACACGCATGGTATAGTCCTCGAGCGCTGGAACCTTGCGAGCCGGGATGAGGAGCCGCTCATCATCCAGCAGTTTCTTCGGTTTGCCGAAACGCGCGCCTTGGCCCACCATTTCCTGACCAGCGATGCCGCTCCGCTGGCGAGCCCCGCCGACGGCCCCCCTCCCGGCCAGCCGGACTCGGACATCAAGAAATTCCTCGAGCGAAGTTGCCGTTCCGGAATCGTGCCGCCCAAGCCGACGTCTCTGTCGCTCTTCGGTGGCAAGTTCACCACCGCCACCTCTTCGAGCGACACCCCGTCTCTGCTGGCCTCGCGAGGCACCATGTCCGTGAACAGGGCACCGTCTCTGCGCCATCATCACCACCACCATCACCCGCCTTCGAGCGTCAGCTCGGGACAGTCCACATCGCCCCCGGCGGTCGGCTGCTCTCCCGCCGCCAGCCCGCTTACGGCGCTATCCTCGTCCTCGCCGCTGAACAAGCTGCAGAGCATGCAGCCGTACGATTTCCGGCAAACGGATCGCCGGCCCACAAGCCCTGACGCTGCTGGTGGCTGTGTTCCGGACAGTGCCCGAAGCGCCGCGCTGATGCATGGTCATCACCATCATACTCAACACAACAACAACAACAACAACAACAGCAGCAGTCCCAAGACGCCGCTGTCGTCGCCCACGCACAACCACAACAGCTTTTCGGCGCCGTTCCCTAACCACAGTTCTGACCTGAGCGTGTCCGAAGGTCCATCGGACGACGAAGCCGGCGCCATCAACCTGTCGCTTGGTGTCGGTTCCATGGACTCCGTGTACGCGGCGCGCAAAGTGAAGCACCTCCGCAAGTCCGCCAACCCCATGAAGCGTCGTTGGAATCCGATGGTTTTGAGCACTCTCACTACGAACCCGGCGACGGGCAAGCGCAGGGTACAGTGCCACGTGTGCCTGAAGACGTTCTGCGACAAGGGAGCGCTGAAGATCCACTTCAGCGCGGTGCACCTGCGGGAGATGCACAAGTGCACCGTGGAAGGGTGCAACATGATGTTCAGCTCCCGCAGGAGTCGGAACAGGCACAGTGCAAACCCGAACCCAAAGCTACACACACCCAACCTGAGGCGGAAGATTAGCCCGCACGACGGAAGAACGGCGAACCCTTTTCCGCTGCTTCCGCCGTCAACGCTGCTCAACTTCAACAACGCCAACGCATCGGGCATCGTACCGCCTTCATCCCTTGCAAGCGCGCTTCACGACAAGCTCGGTGCCGTTCAGGAGAAGCTGGCGTCGCTTTGCTCGACACAGTCCATGCTCGGTGGTCCGCTCCCGGGTGACGGCACCCTGAGGCTGACTACGATGAGAAAAAGCAAGCACGAAGAGAGGGCGCCGTCGGTGGAACGGGCGGAGGACCGTTCGCCGCGCCGCAGGGATACGGGAGGCGTCAACCTTTCCTTGGAGAAGGAGGACAGAGTCGCGCAATCCCGGCCGAGCCCTCCAGTGCTGGGCGAGAACAAGGGAGTCCGCAAGCGCAAGGCGCTCAACCCAACAAAGTGCGCTGCAGTCACCAGCGATGACGATCTTCAGTATGCCACTTCCGACGAGTCATCGAGCAACACGTACATTGACCAAAATGGCCTCATGGAGGAGTCCAAGTCAGACGATGACATGGACGATGTGGACGACATATCCACTGATGGTCAAGATGACTCCAAAGATTTCGATGTCGACGACGACCTCGACGACAAGGACACTGACGGCCACATGACGCCGTCTCCGCCGCCGATCAAGTTCAAAACCGAGCGCGAGGTTCCCCACTGGAACTTCGAAGTGGAGCAGGGCAAGATCGGTGGCGTCACAGCCATCAAGAAAGAAGACGAGAAGCCAGAGACAATCCCGAGCAGAAATAGTGAGCCGCGCGCCTCTCCCGTCGTCACGAAGAGAGCCTCTTCGGTCGAAGACTTGTCGACCAAGAAGGATGGAGAGAGGACGTCGCCGGCGGCGAGCGTCAAGACGGAGGACTTGGCCGAGAACCCGCTGCGGCACCTGGAGTCGCTGTCACTGGGCGCCTTCGCGGGCCTCGTGCCCACCGCCCCGCGCAGCCTCTCGTCGGGCGGCGTGTCGTTCCACGCGCCCGGACTCGGCCTGGCGGACGTGCCGCGCGACGTGCACTGACCCGTGTCTGCGCGACTGCTCGCCGCCGTCTTCCGACCAGCACATGTCGTCGCTGCTGCCGGTGTACCGCGACGCGGCGCTCGTGGGTCCCGGGCTGGAGATTCCGGTGGACAAAGAAAATCCCCGGCGGTGCACAGCCTGCGGGAAGGTGTTCCAGAACCATTTCGGCGTGAAGACGCACTACCAGAACGTGCACCTGAAGCTGATGCACAAATGCACAGTGGAAGGCTGCAACGCTGCCTTCCCGTCGAAGCGGAGCAGGGACCGCCATTCGGCGAACCTTAACCTCCACCGCAAGCTGCTGTCTACGTCGTCCTCCGAGAAGGGAGGCGCCTCCCCGTTCCTCGACAAGGCGCTGTTCCCGTACCCGCCGTCGGACTTCTTCACCGGACTCTACGACCCGCAGGGCCTGCCACTCAACCTGGCCGACGTGTACCACAGGCTGCCCGAAGGATTCGCTCTGCCACCCAGCTTCCCGATGGGGCCGTTCCACCCGCTCCTGGCGCCTCCGCCGCCATCGGCGACCGGGGCCGACGACGACGATGACGACGATGATTCGCGGCACGGAAGCCGCGGGGCCATGTCGCCGGCCAGCTCCGGTGGTGGCGGCGTGGGCGACTCGCGCAGCGCTTCGAGCCCGCAGCGAGGTGTTTGTCGCGACGATGAAGACGCCGCCACGGACCGAGAAGACCGTGCCTCTTCGCCTGTAGACGAAGCGCCGGTCGCTGTGGCGGCGACGTAACGTCGGCCCCTCACCGACCGCGCTCCTCAGGACACTTGAAGATTTGATGAGTGCGCGGTCACCGCCGAATTGTCTTTTTTTTTTTCTCTCTCCCGGCCCCTTTCTGTACAGCACCGCGGGGCGACAGTATTCAGCATCTCTCATGTCCCACACCCCCCTCTCCCCGCATCTTCTTCACGGTACACGAAAAGCGCTCACCGGAGCTCGCGTGCCCCGACGTGCACCTCGCTCACCGAGGGTACTTGTCACCGCGTCGTCGCGTAATTTGTGGCAATAGTTCTCGGTCTATCGGTCAACCGAATTTTTTTTTTCTATTTCACATCTTCGCGTGCTAGCAGCCAGGCCTTTCTCTCAATTGTGAGCCCTTGGCCGTCCTCAGTATTTGTGCCCGGCGAACGCGTCGGAGTCGCACGTGTCGGCGCGCAGCACGCGTTATGTTCGTGTAAAACCGTAAGCGCATCGACATCGACAGCCCCTGGTGACGCGCGCGGACTCCGGTGAGCGCAACAAGCCAGTATACACACACACACACACACAGGCACGCACTTCATTTTGAGCGAGTAGCTAACGCGAGAAGCAACTTTGTTCGGGCGCTCCGTGTACACCAAAACGCTCTGTTCGCGTGGTTTGTTAAGTGTATGCGCGTTCATTGTATAGAAACAAAGAAATACTGGGCGCGGGACGCACGCCTCTAGAGGACGCTCTGGGACTCCTCGAAGACAAAAAAATGAAAAGGACTCCGAGTGGTGTGCGTGTGTGCGCGCGTTCTGCGCGATGACGACAGTATCAAACCTTGTGTTTTTGTTGTCTGAATTCTGTTTTTAAGTTATTTCCACGTGACGACAGCGACAGGAAGACCTGCTGTGCACCACGTTCACAAAGCAAGATGAACCTGTTTCAAACGAGACATTAAAAGGAAAAAAAAAAAACCTTGGGATGAACCCGATTACCAAGGGACTTGCCAAAGTTTGAGAGCCTGTCTTTTTCTTCTTCCTCGCGCGAAATGCGCTGCGAGGATAGGAACAAAAGAAGACTGCGATCCACGAAAGAAGGACGTTGGTGTAACAGCCAACGCATTGACATCGACATGCTGTAATGCACACTTAATGGGGAGATTTTGTGTACATACCAACAGCTAGGGGTCACGTGACTGGAGCAGATGGGTCCCAAACGACGTCACAAAGCCGTTCATTTTGAATGAAAGGTAAGGTTATGTCTGCCTTTGCATAACTATCGCTATTCCGTAAGCGCCCGTGGTTGGCCCGTGTCACTGGGTATATAGCCAGCAACGTATGCCGTGGCACCTAACGGTTGGCACTATACTGTAAGAGCCAAAGTCAAAATGACATCGCGCGCTCTAAAAAATACGCTGTAAACGTACGTTTACGCACAGAACCCGCGAGACTTTGAGGTGCGAACAGACTCGCCCCACTTCATGATACACTATAAAATCAAGTTAACGATATCGCTGAACTGACAGCTATGCAACACCTAATGATTTGGTTTTTAAGCATAAATGTATTAAGGTGTGCAGTAAAGGTTTGATGTGATGGGTAATGCTATCTATACTTATTATCTCTTATGAAAACAGCGCATAACAAGAACAGTGTAGCTTCAAACGAGCAAACAATACGAACACTGTACGCGACACATATTTACCGGCTAAAATAAAGACAAAAACAAGCAAGATAAAGGGTGTTTAAACGCACTAACCTACAGTACGCATAAGGTTTAAGCTACTCGTGAGCACCAGTTCCTTGAGAAGCCAAAAATAAACCACTAAAAGACACGTGATGGTGACACCAAGAAAAGTTTTTATAATTTTCCTCGTAAAATTGCAGGCAATAATGTCAGATTCAGTGTTGTGAATGCCATTTGAGAGAACTTCATCGCTGACAGGAATTTAGGTAGAAAGTTCTAAGAAATACCTTCTTTTAAATGAATTGCTGACGCATATTTTACGACTTCTAATGCTGCTGCTATTATTATTTCGTTCCTTATATGAAGGTGCTGGACCTAGAAACCATAGGAAGTATACTGAATAATTAGTACTTTCAGAACGCGAATGCCTTCGCTTGTTGACAACATATGTTCAATTCAATGCGTCTTATTTTCGTACGTAACTGCTAGCCACTGGAGGCCGACAGCGTTAATATTTACACTGCTACGATTGGCTGCAATCTGCTCTTACAAATGGTCTCTTTCGGCGTAAGGCCGTTAATGTGAATACGGGCCGCATGTTTAGCGGTGATAAGTTTATGTGTTAAGGAGAATGAAATTCGAGACAAAATAAAAATTATTTCTAGTGAGAATTCACCGCAATGACCCATTTCATAATAGTGAATAAGGTACTCAGCTGCTGACCTGCAGGTTGCGGGATCAAATCCCCAGCTGCGCCGGTTGCATTTTCGATGGAGGCGAAAATGCTGTAGGCTGTGTTAAGATTTGGGTTCTCGTTAAAGCATCCCTGGTGGTCGAAATTTCCGAAGCCCTCCGCTACGGTGTCTCTCATAATCGTATGGTGGTTTTGGGACGTTAAACGCAACAAATCATCAAACCCACTTCATTATTATTTTTGAACGAGAAATAAAGTGATATGGTGACCCAAATAAATACACAGGCTCGAGAAAATCAAATGTAGTCGACAAACAAAATAAGTTCAGTGCTGGTTATGAACTCTGGCATTTACGGCACTTTGCGTACATTTCTTCCAAGAACAAACAGCAAAAGCGTTCGTGTTCGACCTCCTTCGTCCACAATGCTCGTGGAACACTTCATGGAGAACAGGTAAGTTAAACACCAGTGCATCTTGTCCATACAAATTTCGAGTCATATATTCTTACCTTTAGATGGTCGTATACTATGAGCTACTGGATTCAATGAATTTCATCTCTGGTTTTCCTTTCGGTGTCGCCTTAGGCAACAAGCTGAGAGCATAAATAAACTTTTCTTACTTCCAGAACTCTTGTCGGCATTATAGAAAGAACTGGAGGCGAAAGTACAATGTATAAAAGAATCAACTGTAGAAAGTATGATGAGAATGGTAGTAATATAAGCGTATGTGTATGTGCACGCACACACGCACACAAACACACACACAAAATAAATTACAAAGTAAGAACAATAGGCGTGAATGATGTAAGAACTGTTCGCTACTACGCACGTCCTCGACTAAGGCACCTTTATCGCCGATATTATACTCTCTGGATGGTTGTTAATATGTGTGACTTCCTCAAAAATGCCCTGCTGAGGCTGTGGCGTCATGTTTTAGTACTCCTGTTGTGAAAGATCGGGGTTGATGATGGCATTCCCGCGTGGCCGCCAGTTGTAAGGGGTGCCACCAGTTGTAAGCGCCCATTTAGCGTAGGCGCCAACGTACTCATCAAGAATCAAGACAAACTGTCTGATGACAGCTTCGAAAGACAGCTATGGAAGACAGCAGAAAGACGGAGCTAACACAGGAGTACGTACCAAGTACTATAATGCAGCTAAATTAAAAAAAAGTGCAAGAAACCATGGGTGTCACCAGCGATTTATAAGATAATAGGAAGAAGACAACGAGTACAAGAGGCATTTAGCATACTAAGTACTTATCAGTACAATAGGTTAGGGGAAGTAAGTAAGAAATATAAATCTAAGGTACGTAGTGCAAAGAATGAGTACTTGAGTCGGCTGAATGAAAGCATAAACACTAACCCCAAGCTTTTTTGGAGATACGTAAGCAACTGCGGTGCTGACCCAACTGGAGTGGACGAAATTGCTCATGACAATAAGATCCTGTCCAGCGACATTGATAAGGCAACATAACTTAATGATTTCTTTCATTCCGTATTTTTACCTGCAATTGATACTTTGAAACTATCCGTGCTGGTTGAGCCCTCTTCAGCAACTAAATCATTAATGCTACCGGTCGAACTTTGTGTCAATGGTATCGAATCCCTTCAAAACACAAATGAAACTAAGGCACCACCTATAACCCAGATGGCATTTCCCCCCGCGTATCGAGGCGCTGTGCCTGGCCAATTGCATCTTACCTTTATTTAATATACAAAAAATCTCTCTTTACTGGAATTCTGTCTGTAGACTGGAAAATGGCCTTTGTGGTTCCTATTCCCAAGGGTGGTTCCAAGAAAGAGGCAAAAATTATAGGCCCATTTATTTAACATAAATCCCCTGCAAGATATTGGAGCATATACTGTATAACGACATAATGAAACACCTACTCCACCACAAATTATTAGCCGATGTTGAGGATGGTTTCCGCATGGGCCTGTCTTACACAACGCAACTGATCGAATTATACCACGATTTAGTGACTGAGGGGGACGATAATAGATGAACTAACTGCATTTTTTTTAGATTTAAGAAAAGCGTTTGGTATCGTGTCCCACCCCTTGCTTCTTCACAAATTTGAAATGGCAAATATTAATAAAAATGTGCTAAAGTAGATTGCCAGTTATCTGTCACATCGTCGACAATGTGTTGTTCTGAATGGTATCACTTCGTCCACGGTATACCGTGGAAGAAGTGATACCGGGTGTCCTGAGCGACATCGGGTGTCCTGAGGGGGACCGGTTTATGGTCGCTACTGTTTTTAGTTTACATTAACGACATTCCTGACGGGATATCCTCTGAAGTACGTTTATTTGCCGACGGCTCTGTCGTATACAGAAAAATAAAAAGTGAACAGGACCACATTGAATAGCAGGCTGACCTTGCCAGACTTATGAAATGGTGCGAGAAGTGGAAAATGCAACTTAATAACGTTAAAAAATATGTTCACGTGTCTTTCACTAAAAAAAGAAAATAGATAGAACGCGTTATTTTCTGAACGGTGACGTCATTCATCAGCAAACAACGTATAAGTACCAGGGTGTAACCTTCGCGAGGGACTGTTTTTGGAATGCGCATGTGCATGCTGTGGTTGCGGAAGCCGCCAAGCACTAAATTTCATTCAGCGTAACCTGAGATCCTCTCCTGCTGCTTTAAATATACTGCTGATATTTCATTTGTCCGCCCGATCTTGGAACACGCGTGTTGTGTGTGGGATTCACAACAAAAGTCTTTGGTTGATATCATTAAGAGAATGCAGAACCGAGCGGCAAGGTTCGTTCTAAGGTGGTATAAACGAGGCGACAGCTGCACTGAAATGAAAGACGTGCTGGGATGGGAAGCGCTGTCTTCTCGCAGGAGAAAATTCCGCTTGAAGATGTTATTTCAAATATACCACAAAAAGACTGGCATTTACAAAGACAAGCACCTCAAGCTACCGCAGCATCTGTCAAAAGATGCGATCATCCTTTTAAAATTCAAGAATACCCGACTAGACCGAACCTATATGCTATTTTTTTTTGTTCACATTGTAGTAGAGTGGAATCATTTGCCTTGTGACCAAGTGCGCTATGATAACGAAGATTTTTTTTAAAAGCTGTGAGCCCCCTGTTTATACGCCTTTTGGCACAGCAGGGTATTTCTGAATAAATAAATAAATAATGCCTAAAAACATAAGTTGTATTTATTACAAAGTTAACTCGGCAGTACTGTCAACTTCATTATCGAAGTACAATTTGCTTCTTTCTATCGGCAACTGTTCCTATATAGTTACCCAGCTTTTGTGTGGACACGGCTATAACCTTGAGCCCCCTCACGCAAACACTTTGAGGAGATCGCTGATTACAAAATCTCAATCTGTGTTTAAATTCACACTGAAAAAAAAAGGCTTCATCATGTGCCCTAGAGTTAAAGGCCATTACGTGTAACAAACCTTGCACCAATGACACAGTGTGAAACCGGGTCCACTGGGTGCCAGCGCAGCTATTTCGATACGCCGGTGCTTGTAACTTATTGTCAAACTTGCCATTGACAGGCATGACCTAGAACCAATGGCACAGTGGGGCTCGAACCCGGGTCCGCTGGGTGCCAGCCAAGTATTCTACCACTGAGCTACACCGGTGCTTGTGACGATG